GACAGATGGAAAATGAAAGGATGGAAAAATATATTCCATGCAAATGGAATCCAAAAAAAAGCTGAGGCAGCTACATTTATATCAGACAAAATAGACTTTGAAATAAAGATTGTAATAAGAGACAAAGAAGGACATTACAGAATGATAAAGGGGTCAATCCAATCACAGATTATAACATCTATAAATATTTATGCACCCAACATGGGAGCACCTAAACGTGTAAAGCAAGCATTAACAGACCTACAAGGAGAAATAGACAGCAACACAATAATAGTAGGGGAATTTAATAAACCCACTTGCATCAATGGATAGATCATTCAGACAGAAAAGCAATAAGGAAACATCAGCCTTAAATCACATGTCAGACCAGTTGGTCTTAACAGATATATACTGAACATTCCATCCAAAAGCAACAGAATACACTTCTCAAGTATACATGGAACATTCTCCAGCATAGATCATATTTTAGGCCACAAAACAAGTCTTCATAAATTTAAGAAGATTAAAATCATATCAAGCATCTTTTCTGACCACAATGGTATGAAACTAGAAATAAATTACAAGAAGAAAACTGGAAAAGCCTTTCATCAAGATTAATGATATTGCAATTAGTACCAGCAATAGCAGAAATGTTGACAGTGAAAAGAATTTACTGTTTAATTCCCGTTCTGGAAGGAAAATAAATCAACTTTGCAAAATACTTTGCCTAGACGGCAGAATGAATTGCCTATAGGACTGATTCTTGTTACGCTTTTGTGTTTTTCATGGCTTAGAATTTGCAAAAGCAATAAGAATTCCTCACTTCTGGAGAAGCTTAAAATTTCTAATAGTCTTCATGTAATCTTTTGCTATGGTTATTAGAAAGCATTTTTCTTCTGGTTAATGATATAGCCATGGTTTTGATCATTTTTTATTAAGTGGCCTCTTTGTTCTTATTTTAACAATTGATCTCTCTGAAAGCTTTTTCTTTAAGGTCGGCTCCCAAATTCTGAACTATATAGGCTGACAGGGTATCTTTTGCACCCAGACCATCATTAGCATCTCTAGATGGTAATAGCCCCAAGTTTCGCTCCTTTGTCTTGCTTGTGTAACCTATGGAATGAACATATGACCAAAATGCGGATGTTAGCAATAACCAGTGAGGGTCATATGCTCCAATGTCCTCAAAATTGCTCTACAATATTGAAACAGTTGCTTTGTCTGATGGGCATACCATGTAAGAAGAGATCTCAAGACAAAGGGAGCAGCTCTTTCTCCCCCTTGGGGAGAATAATTACTAGTAAATTTACTTTTTCAGGGTAGAAACTTGCTTATCTATAAGAAAGTACTATTAGCAAAATAACTGCTAAAAGATTTTATTATTTATTTTTGAATAACACAAACAGCATTCCAGGAACACACTTGGAATCACTGGGCAGTTACTAGTGGAAAACCAAACTGAAATTTTGAGAATTAATCTGGCCAGTATTTGTACTGAATAAAGAGGTACATACTTTGCCACAACACAATTAACACAAGATCCAGATCAAAGAGAAAGAAAACTAAAATTCTTCCTACATACAATATTAATGGACAGGCCTAAGAGAATTCTAGTTGTTCTCTCTGCTACTACTCAATGGCAAACTTTCTGGCTCTAAAAATACAGTGCTTTGCTAAAGTATTATAAAACACAGATAAGTTAGTTCAAAAAGTGACATTCAGAAATTGAAGAAACTCTGTCAACTGACTTAGATAGTGGCATAGTATAAAGACTATCTCCATCCAAATTTCCTTAATGCAGGGCATCACTGAGATCTCACTGGAAAGGCTCCTATCAAGCCTGCTGAGTGCTAATATGGCCTGTAAATGGCACGGTCTTCTGTTGAGGCTACATGTCTTCCATGGTAAAAAGAAATTCATGTTTATGTTTATGCATTTCTTGTTATTCATATTTTTTCCTTAGATAAAAGGACCACTGACCTGCTTCTCATGTTAAGTTCCAGATTAGTGGTAGTAGCTTTCTGAAAACTACAGAGAGTCTTCTGACACTACTGAGACAAGAGACAGACATTCTATGCTAACTGCGAGCCCATTTTTCCCAGATGTGTTGCAACCTTTCAGAGTTACTACAAGTGAGTCTCATTCTGTGACAACTGGTAGGACTCAAGACATCCTGTAATGCTACAAATTTGAACTTGCTTGTTGTTCAACGAAAGTCTGTGCTTCTGATGTCACCTGTTTTTTCCAAAGAATGTTGTGATTTATTTTCTGTAAAAATAATCCCACAGTTGCACGCATCAAGAGCAGAGATTGTAGAAATTCTGTACTGATAACCACTTTCTTCCAGAAACAAATTTAACTGCTTTTCCCTCAGAAAGTAAGCCCTTATTTGCCACTTCTCATACCCAGCAGAAGTTAAACAGGATTGCTTCTTCTCTTGTTTTTAGTGAAGAAGTTCGGCCTAGAGATCACCTGTAGGATTGATGGTTTGATGACAGTTGCTACATAGTTTTACCTGAACTGTCCTTATATTGAATTAATTATCGAAGAAAAAGTGTGATATATAATATTTAAAGCAGCACATTTTTGTTGCTCATAAGAGTATACAACATACAGAATTTAGGTCCTAGTCATTGGCCCATTCTTTTTAAAAATTAACTTGTGTAATTTGTGAATTGTATGTCAAATTTGTACGAACAAGTTTTGATAGTGTTTTCTTTAACTATATTTCAGTATGTTCTTGATATTAAATTATTTTTCTTTGTCATTCCTTTCATTCTATAAGCTAAGATGAACCTTAGCTTGGCTTTCCCAGATTATCACGTCACAACTAGTTAATACTGTTAACTAGTTATTCTTTTTGTCATATTCTTTTGTCAGAATTCCTCTTGTCAAATTAAATTTGTTTGTCAAATTTAACATGATATTCTCCTGGTTGCGACTGCACAACTTCCAATAGTACTGAATTATTGTCGGGGTCTAGGGACAGTGTCTTATCAAATCCAGGAGCAATGGTGACTTCTACGCAAGCTCTCCAAGAAATTTTGAACTTTCACATTAACAGAAATATATTTTTCCAAAGTAAATGAGATACCACTTCTATTCTATTCCGAAATGTTCAAACTTGCACTACATTATGCTGAGAAATCTGAAATAATGCATTCAGGAATTTGGAGGCCACTGTTATCTTTAATAAGATAAACGCAAATTTTGTCGTTTCCAGAGACGAGTAACAAGTGATGATGAGGGGACTCTTTCGGAGGACCAGAATTGCTACGTAATAGCTGCCTCAATTTATATAAAATGCTGTCATTCATTAAAAGTAGTAGTCTTACTGACACACATATCCATAAATTAAACTGAAAAATTGTTTTAATGTAGGAACACTGTTCTTATTCAGAAATTGATTGTGAAGTGGTATGATAATGACTGAGCTTGGAGAGTTTAAAATCACATACAACTTGGCTGAATCCAGAGTGTGCCATTTATTAGCCTCACATGCTTGCAAAAGTTGTTTAACCTCCATCCATCACTTTATTCTCTCCATCTGTAGGGATGGATAGGGTACTTGAATCACTGAGATGATGTGAGAATTAAATAAAAATATGATGTATAAAAAGCCCTTGTATCATTCTGGGTACAAACTAAAATGCTTAAAAATTGCTCAACAAATGTAGTCATTTTTTTTTTGAAGCATGATGAGTACTATGTCACTAGAAATATTAAGCCACATAAAGAATAACTACATATCAAAACTATGGTGGAGGGTGAATTAATGCAGAACTTTAGATATAGAGTTGTCCTTTAAAGTCCATTCTGAATCTGAAATATACATTGATATTAATATAATGTGTAATAAATATCTAAAAGTAGAATTATATGTTTAAAATTATATGATTACATCAAAGGATGTGTCATAGTTTTTCCATAGTGTTCTATTTCCTGAACACTCTATAAGGTATTTATTAGCAAAATCTTTTTATATCTTTCCTTAGGATAAAGCAAGAGAAGGTGAATAACAAAGGGATGTATCTCCAAGAAATTGAGGAAATCATAATGGGGACCAGGAATAAGAAACTGAACACTTTCTCACATAAAATATTAATTATTCTAAAGCGGAGTTGTTGTGCCAAAGGCTGACATTGAGTCCTTTGTGGATCTCTCAGCCCCCTGCATACTTTGATTTGGATGGTTGGCCTTATCACATTGTTAGGTTAAGTGCTATACAAAGGTACTTTCAAGCGCTGTACAAAAGTGCTTTCCACGTGGTCTTCTCTAATCTCTTTCCCTATGTGCATTTTGGAGGAGCCACTAAACTCAGTGACAGTATCAGGAAACAAACCTGAGAAACCTTTTCACTCAGATTAAATTATTGACTAAATTTCAATTTCTTTAGTTCATCAGAGACATTCCTATCTGTAAGGAGGTACATTATACTCTCCAATCAAAAGCTATAATTCTGTCATATCATCAGTTACCAGAGGATGCTGCTCCTTGAGCTGTCCACAGAATCACAGCATTTTTCAGTACTGAAATACCTGAAAGATCACAGTGACTTCATTTCAACTGTGAAAGGTCAAGTAATTTTCCCAAATCGACAACACTAAATTATTGTACAATAAGGACCAGATTAAAGGCTATCTGACTTTCAATCATCTTCCCTCCACTCCCTCAACTCCTAGACACGCAAACAAACACAAACATGTCAAAACAGCTCTTTCTTCAAATGAGAGAGATGAATGCCTCTGAAAGGCTCAACTTATGTACACATCACTGACAAGAACAGAGCTGGCTCACAATAGGGGCGCAATCAAAATTTTTCAGATACAACTGGATCAAACCTTTAAAGTACAAAATTAAAACAATCCTTCTAATGAAGGAAATCTAAGTTTCAGAAGAGGACCTTCAAACTGAATCTCTGACCAGCAATTGATGATGCTATTCATCTTTGATGCTGATTGGTTCTCAACACTGAGATTATCCAATACAGGAACAAAAAAATGAGGTTCCTGGTTGTATTATTTGGGATGTGGGTGGAGGAGGGTCCTAGTCCTCATTCAGTGAGGCTTGCCTGCTCCTCTGCCCCCGTCTCTCCTGTTCTCCAGCATGATGTGTCTGTGGTTCCCAGGAGGCTACCAGATGGCAGCATTGACAATGATACTGATGTTACTGAGCCCTTCTCTCACCTGGACCAGGGACACTCAACGTAAGTACACACCTTGGGTGATGAGCTACTGTTGGGTGGAATAAGAAGGGAGTTAGCTTTGTCACTGTGTCCAGGTCACGACCCTTAAAAAATTGTGACATTTTCTTCAATAACCACCTATCTTTATCATATGGACCCCTAATTCTTTTCTCAACAAAAGGAGCCTGGATGCTTGCCCTCTCTAAAAGAGCTGCATAAGGAGTCTCCATATATACAGGTTATTTCATCGTAATTCTCTTCCAATAAAATCTCTCTAGCCTTGCATCCTGTTCCCTCAGGATCTTGAGAAGATTTAGAAATAATGATGTTAAGATAATTAAACATCCAGTGAACCCTTCATTATGTTGAGTTATGCCAGAAAAAGGGAAGGTTTCTCTGAAAATTTTACGAGGAGTCAAAAGGAATTGGAAATATCTCTCCTAGGAGATCCTGTGTTATATCTTTAACAGGATCTGTGATGTTAATACTTCTTCCTAATATGTGAGGATGTATCGAGCCTGGCCCATTATCTCCTTTCTTTTCTCCCTGAACCCCTATGTTTATAAGGCCTGTATTCCTGTCCTGGAGGGTCACTGACAGAAGTTGAGATTAAGTGCTATTTATCGCATGGAAAGCACCCTAGAGCAGAAGCAGGAATCGTTGGTACTTTGGAATGACTCTATAGTAAGAACATCTATGGGATGTTCTTTGATGCCTCAAAATTCAAGGACTCTTCCGAAAACCTGGCACAAGATAGTGTTCATGATGAATCTATTTTGAACGTTTCTATAGTATCAGTTTTCCTACATCTCCCCTTTCTTTGGCCTGAGTCCACAAGAAGAGATTCAATGAGTACAGAATAAATTATATGAAGTCCTATTTTCATAAGCCAAAAATAGTCAAATATTATCAATTTCATATAGTTCAAAGCATACACCCTGTACAGGGTTACAGAGAGATCATGAGAGTTGTTTACATCCCATAGAGCTGAAAATCAACAAGCAAGTCAAGGGAACTCATTGGCCTCCTGGAGCCTTAGCCCCAAATTCATAGGTTCATTCATCATCCCCTCCGTTTTTCCTAATTAACCATGTTTGTCTCCTTCCAGTTCTTCCCTATTCTTTCCCCAGCTACGTCATCCCCGTTACTGAAAATCCCCAAAGTTTTCACAGACCCTCAGCACTATAACAGATCCATTGGATGAGATGAAACAATGAAATTTTTCCTCTTTCTTAAAATCACCTTTTCCTTACCTGTGAATGTTTCTTCCAACTAGTAGGAGGAGAAAGAGGAAGTTTGTCTGAATTTCTCACAAGAAAGGGAAGGGAGATAAGGTGTCCTCAGAATAAGAGTGTTGGAGCTTGAGCCCCTCTTGCCTCCCAGGATCCCCACAGTGATCAATTCCCAGAACCCTGGGTTTATTCATTTAGACACAAATATTTTTCTGAGCAACTATTATATACTAGGCTCTGTTCTAGGCTCACAGAATAAGATAGAAAAGCCCCCTACTACCATGGAACTTACCTAATGACAGGGGAGAGAGACAATAGACCCATAAACATTTAACAAAGAAAAAAATTTCAGAGAGCAATAAGAGCTCTGAAAAAAATACGTCAGAGTTACAGAACAGAGAGAATGGATTCACCTGACTTCAGTTCAAGTGGCTGGGGAGCTCTCTCTGAGAAAGTGACATTTAGTTGAGACACGAGTGATGAGAAGAAGCCAGGCACATGAAGGAGCTCAGGGACAAGTGTTCCAGGGAGAGGGAACAGGGGAAAGGCTGAAGTGTGGGAAGATGTTTGCTGTGTTTAAGGGATGGAAAGAAGGCCAGAGTGGCTAAAGCATAGCGAGCAAGTTGGGAAGTGGCAGAAGATGAAGAAGAAAAAGAAGTCAGTAATATTAGGCTCTGAAGGCCAGGGTAAGAAATTTGAATGTTATTTAAAAAAATAATTCTAGCTACCATGTGGAGATTGGATTGTAGAGATTCACAAGTGGAGTCAGGGAGACAATTTAGCAGCATGGTAGAATTCTCCAGGGAAGAGATGCTTGTGGCTTCATTTAGTGTGATACTGACAAAGACAGTGGTCAAGATAAAGTGGACATATTTGGGATAGATTTTTGTATGACTTGTTAATGAATCAAATGCTGAGGATGTGGGGATAGAAAAATTAAGCTTATTCCTAAGGATTTTTTCTTTCATAATAACTGGGTCAATGGTGGTGCTGTTTATTGAGATAGAGAAGACTGTGAGAGGAAATAATTTGAAGTGGGTGGTTAGGAATAAAGGCTTTGCCCAAGTTAAGTTTGAAATGATTTTTGACATTCATGTGGAGCTGTCAAGAGGTCAGTTGAATCTATGAGACTTGAGTTCAGGGGGAGGCCAGAACTGGAGGTATATATGTTGGTGTTACCGACACACGTACTGTGTTAAATTCCAGCAAAGTAGAGAGGTTACTTAGGGAGAGAGATTGTGTGTAGAAGACAAGAAGAGAAGGCAAGGGCCATGCCTTGAGGGCCAAGGGCCAATGAGTTAGCAAAGGGGAATGAGATGGGGCTACCAATGATGTTGAGGAAAACCAAGAGAATGTGATGCATGGAAGTGAAGGCAAGTAGATTTTTTTCAAGGAGGAGGGAGTGGCCAGCTGTGATGAGTACCACTTAGAGGTTAGTGAAGTGAGAGCCATGACAGACAAGTGAGAACTGGGTTTGGTGGATTGACGTTTGCAGTCAGTGGAGTATACAAGATAGAAACTGGACTGGACCATTAGAAGAGAAAATGGGAGCTGAAGAAGCAAAGGATGGATTACACATGACTCTTCTGAGTAGTTGACCTCAGGGAAAGACTGTGCTATGGGATCAGGGAGTCAGATGGACTTAAGTATAAGAATTAAAGAGCCTAAAGAGAAGCTTCAACGATGTGACAAAAAGAGATGTTCAGTCATCAGCAAGAAAGCCTTAGAGTGCCCTTGTATGCAGAGGTAACTGGTTATGCAAAAAGTCATTAATTCATACAGCCAATATTTATTAGTAACCTAGAATACACCAGTTATTACTCTAGGTGATGAGGATGGAGTGATGAACAAAAGAAATCTGGTCTCTACCATCATGAAGCATCATAATATTTTGCAGTTACTATGTACCAGGCATATAAATTTCAATATGTAATTCCCATAAATATCCTATCATATCTGCAGCAATTAAATATATATATCTATGGAATCTAAAATTCAAAGAGTTTAAGTAACTTACCCAGTGTCACACAGTTAGTGCTAGAACACAGATTAAATAGTCTAAATCTGAGTATATACAAAGTCCTTCTCTTTCATGTCAGCATACTCCATTTGTATTAGGTTCATGTATACTTTATTATTATTCATAAATCGATGTTTCTGCCCTTATGTATTCAAAATGGGAATCAGTGGTAATATTAATAGAAGATAATTGCAAGATCATGATGAAGATATTATTTGCTTTAGGAAGTTAAGGAGTAGAAAGATCTTGTGAGCCTGCATTCATAGGAATTATAAACATTAAAATGGCAATATATTTATTGAGTACTTATTATGTGGTCAGCACTATGAAGAGTCACTATTTAATTTCTCAAGTAATAATAATCCTTTGAGGAATATGCTATTATTAAATCCATTTTAGAAATAAAGAAAAAAGATTCATGGATGTTAAAAACTACCCAAGTGGAAGAGTTCATGTTCAAATTCAGATTTTCTGATTCTAGAGCTTGACTTCTAACCATCAGTAGTGAATTGTGGCTTGATTGGGCAAAATTGACAAAATTTCTGATGTACACATGTACCAGTGTGTCTTATGGTAGGGGAGAGATGCAAGGTCAGCTAGTTCCAATGTATAGGAGAAATTTACCTTGACTTTGAATTTATTATTTGAAGAGTTCCGTATGGGTTCACACTATGTGCAGGCTATCATGGGCATGTGTTGAAGACTAGAAAGAATTATTAAATACACTCCTTCTTCTCAGATTTTGTGAGCAAGTTGGGCTAGGGTTGCCAAATAAAATTCAGGATTCCCAGTTAACTCTGAATTTTAGATAAATAATAATAATCCAAAATTAACGGTGCATCCTGTATTTTTATTTGCTAAACCTGGTAGCCTTAAGTTGGGCACATGACCATGAACTAACAGTGTTAACCATACAAGCTACAGTGAGCAAAAACTTCACACATTTCTGTTTTTTAGCATTCTCATGTGTCAAGCAGGTACTTAGAGAACTTCTTAGTAAGATAGACCAGGTCTGATCCAGAGTGCATGCCTCTCTGCCATCATTTCTGTGGGGCAAAAGGAGTTTTGTGAAGGTCCCTACTCAGAGTCTGGGAATCTGCTCCTTTTTTCTAAACTGTTTATATGAGAATGTCATCTCTTTCTCAGTTTCTCCCCTTCTGAGGGGACTTAATTACAGAAATGAGAGCTCTACATCTGTCCAAGGCTGGTAATTTGATGCCTACTGGTATTATTGGGAGTAGGAGACTGAAAGTTAGAAAATGAATTAGTTGGGACATTGAACAGGAATAAAATGGCTGTGGCTGTAGTTTAGTACCATAGATAAGTAGTGGACCAGCTACAGAGAAATCAAGACAGAAGCTGACGTGAAGGATAAATTATATGACTTAATGACTAAATTGTTCTGGTACAAATTCAAATGTGTAGGATTATTTTTCATACCACAGAGCAACTCTCCAACACCAGTGGGGTGTCCTACAATTCAACTCAATTCTGACACTGTCTACATGGAGGTAGCATCAGAGCCCACAGGTTAAGGGCTCAGTCCTACAGGACAGCCCCTTCCCACTTCAGGTGACAATCACAAGTTCAGGTTGTCACCTGTGCTTCTGACCAAAGGGCTATAGATTGGAGGTTCCCATGACTCCCACCTTGGGTTTCATTAATTTGCTAGAGTGGCTCACAGAACTCAGAGAAACATGTCACTTACTAGATTACCCATTTATTATAAAAGGATAGAACTCAGGAACAGCCAAATGGAAGAGATTCATAGGGCAAGGTACGGGGAAAGAACGCAGAGCTTCCATGCTCTCTGAGTGTACCATTCTCCCCCAAATCTCCACGTGTTCACCAACACAGAAGCTCTCTGAACCCCATCTTTTTGGATTTTTATGGAAGTTTCATTACATAGTCAAGATTGATTAAATCATTGGCTGCTGGTGTTGAACTCAACCTCCATCCCATCCCCCTAACTCCCCACCCCCAGGGGTCAAAGAGGTGGGACTGAAAGTTGCAACCCTCCAATCAGGTTGTTGATTCTCCTGGCAACCAGCCCCCATCCCTAGGTGGGATCCAAAAGTCACCTCGTTAGCATAACAAAGACAACTTTATTGCTCTCATATTTAGAAATTCCCAGAGTTTTAGGAGCTCTGTGCCAGAAAAAAGGACAAAGACCAAATATATAGTTGTTAGTATAAATCCCAATATCACAGTGACTGATTGGCAAGGCAAAAATATCAGTAAACTTGGGGCTTGAACAAATTTATTTGGCTGGACAAATAGCTCTGCACTGGGACCAACTAGATTCCTAAAAAACGTAAGTTTCATGTAAGACCACGATTTTCAACAGATATAACATTTGCAAATTTGTCAGTATAATTCTCAGCTGCTCCGTAAATGACAGTGGCTTTTTCATCACAGTTTTTTCAGGTGGTTTACACCAGTGGTTCTCAGCCAAGGACAGTTCATCACCCTCCTCCCTGCTCCTTCTCCTCCCAGAACATTTGGCAATGTCTGGAGCCACTTTTGGTTTTCACTCTGGGCGTTTCTTCTGACAGCTAGTTCACAGATGCCAGGGATGCTGGTAGACCGCTTACTATGCACAGAACAGCCCCACCACCCCCAACCACAAAGAATCATCTGGTCCAAAATGTCTGTGGTGCCTAGGCTGAAAACTCTGCTTTACACTGTGCTGCTTCTCAGAATTCTAGACTCACACTTTATACACACACTCATCTTCCAATTCAGTTCTTCATGGTTTATTCTAGCTTATTTCATTATCAAAAACACTAGACAGTTGCACAAATTCACCACTTTCCTGTTGAATCTATTCAATCAAAGCAAGTTCAAGATTTTCATTTTTATTTTTTGCCTTCTGCAACATTGTTCAAAGTTTCATGAAAAAGTTCAAAATGTCTTGGTCATTACATTTTTATTAACTTTCAACAACTTGCCTGTTTAAGTCATAAATAGTGGTGACTGCCATAAATATACTTCAGTAAAATGTCTCAAATTTCTGCAGTAATTCTACTTTCCATACTATTGATGATGTCAGAAGCTTCCATTTATTCATCTCACTTTTAACCACAGGGTTATTCTTTTAACTCTTTTTGACATTTCACAGTTCAATTAAACAGAAAGACAAAAACATCAAAAACATATACATTTGTATGATATATATGTGCATATTTATACATATATGTATGTTGGCACATATTGAAACGACAGAAGCACATGTAACCAATAAGAGCTATGAGACACATTTGACCCCATACCTTATCAGGTCAGATATGCCAAAGGAGTTTTGGCATCAAATTTTTAAAAAATCTGGGGGCCGGCCCCCTGGCATAGTTGTTAAGTGTGCACACTCCTCTGCTGGCGGCCCGGGGTTCGGATCCTGGGTGCACAGTGACGCACTGCTTGTCAGGCCATTCTGTGGCGGAGTCCCATATAAAGTGGAGGAAGATGGGCACGGATGTTAGCCCAGGGCCAGTCTTCCTCAGCAAAAAAAAAGATGAGGATTGGCATGGATGTTAGCTCAGGGCTGATCTTCTTCACAAAAAAAAAAAAAATCTGGTTTTCTGAGCTATCTGGATTGGAAATGCAAAAAAGAGATTGTAGACCTGTATTGGGATGATGGTTTTAATCTCCTTAAAACTCTTCAGTAGTTTCCCACATGTTTGCTGTAAATTCAAAATCCTAACATCACCTACCAGGCTTTTAAGTCCCCACCTCCACTTGATTTCTCCAGTCTAATCTTTTACCTCTTTCCTCTCACTGTCTCTGCTTCAGTGAACTGGTTTCATCTGATTTCTTGAGGAAGTGCATCAATCCTCCAGCTTCTCCACAAGGTGTTACCTTCACCTGAAATGTGCCTCCCTTTTCCCACAAAACTATACACACACACACACTCTTCTCTAGCTCACATCAACATAAGCTTTCCTGTCACATCTTAAACGTCACTCTTAGAGACCACTCCTCTCTCACTCTGAGGTGATTGAGATCATCCTGTTATTCTTTGTTCTAGAACTCCACACTTTTCTTTTGACATTTCTCCCTCCCGTAAAAATTCTTGTGTGGTTGTTTTTTGTCCATCACTTTCACTAAATTTTAAGCTCCAGGAATGGAGGGGACATGTCTATTTTTCCCTTCTTGGAATTCTCAGGGGACAGCAGAAGCCTGGAGAATAAGGTCATTACTAACCAAGTGTTTACAGAATGAAGGAGGTGGGAAAAGTTTATGAAACAGCTAAAGGGCTGTGGGATGAGAGGAGGGAGCTCTGAGTGTCTTTCGGGTAGATGTGTCCAGAAGGAGGTGGTGATGGGGACAAGTCCTACTCCAGCTCCTGCTTGGAGGTCAGCAACCAAGCACGGAAGCCCGGTGGATCCCGAATGTCTCCGGACCAGAGGGGTCTCCTCCGCCCGGCCAGGCCTCCCTCGGCCCGGGGCAGATAAAGTTGAACCCGTTGGGTGCTGGTAGCTGAAGGTGACAGTGGCGCATGTCAGGGTGTCCTAGTGCCCCCACTCGCGCCTGGGCGCCCCGCATTGGTGGGCGTCGCCGTCAGTCTCTTCTCAGGAGCCCGCCCGGGTTACTGGACCGTTCGTGTCCCCACAGCACATTTCCTGGAGTATACAAAGTCCGAGTGTCATTTCTCCAACGGGACGGAGCGGGTGCGGTTTGTGTTCAGAGACATCTATAACCAGGAGGAGCACGTGCGCTTCGACAGCGACGTGGGGGAGTTCCAGGCGGTGACCGAGCTGGGGCGGCCGGACGCCGAGTACTGGAACGGGCAGAAGGACTACCTGGAGGAGACGCGGGCCGCGGTGGACACGTACTGCAGACACAACTACGGGGTTATTGAGAGCTTCACGGTGCAGCGGCGAGGTGAGCGCGGCGGGTGGGCGGCCAGGGGGCGGGGGCAGTGTGTGTGTGTGAGAGACAGAGACAGAGACAGAGGCACAGTCTTGGTGAGTGTGTAGGATTGTGAGCGAGCACAAGTTACAAGGGTCCCTGTGAGAGTGGGTTGTGGAGAGCGAGTGTGTGGTTTTGTCTGTGTGATTGTGGGGAGAGAGTGTGTGTGTGAGGGGTGTACTGTGAGCTAGGTGGGACAGAGAATGTGTGTATGTGGTGGGAGAGTGGGCCTGGGTCTGAGAGGACGGAGAAGGGAATAGGTGTGGGGTGGGGGGTGCAGGAGAGGGGCTTCAGGCTCCTTGGGGGGCCACTGTGGGGGAGGGGGATGGCAGCGCAGCGGGCTGGAGAGGGAGGAAACACTGGTTGGGGTGGGTGGTTAGCCCGTGGGGAGGGACATTTAAGGTGGGGTCTGTGGTTGGGGTGAAGTTTCTGGGAGGAGAGAGGAGGAATGTGAAAGCTTTGGGGGAATGTGAGGAGGCTGGTATCCGACTGTTCTCGGCACGCACCCTGCCTAATCCTGAAACCTCTGAAATAAACATGCTTGTGTTGGTGCGCATGAGCATTTCGTTAAGAATGAGATTTGTGGGGGAGACTAATATGGAGGGAGGGAGTAGCGAGGACCCTCCCAGGGACCTCTGACCTTTCTGAGGCTTCCCTTAGGTCTAAATTTCCTGCTACTTTTTGTTTTTTTAAAGTGTATTTTTACATAGTTGAACTGTGAAACTAGCTTTTTGAATAATAATTTTGTTGCTTATCTTTAACATACTGTGACTATTTTTATAATGTTAATAGTATTTAAGTAGTTACATGTTATTCCTTTGTATAGTTGTAACATAATTGACCTCACATTCCCCTTTGTTAGGTTTTTTTTCATATTGTCACTCAATTGGAAATTTATATCTTGTTATTTTTAATTTATATTTCTTTTATTTCTAAGGTTCTTCTATTTTTTCACATAGTTATTTGCCAATTGTACTTACTGCTCTAAGCATTATCTATCATCTCTGGGGTCCTAGTGTTTCCTCAGTGATTTTTGGGGTTCTCTATGCAATAAGATTATTAACACTTTGCTGATATTTGATTCAGCATTTTCTCTAGTTTGTGGTTTATATTTGATTAAGTTTATTATTTTCCATGTTAAGAATTTAAACATTTTTGCCTAATGAAATATACTGCAAAATTGTTACTAGTGATATACCATCAATCTTAAATTTACTATTTTGTGGGATTGTAAAGATGTTGCCCACGAAGTTTCTCCTTTCTTTAATATAATTGTATTTGTTGAGGGCCTGGTAGTGTCAGAGATTGTCTCAGATGTTAAGCACATGTATTAATGAGTCCCGGACCCTGCCCTGACTTCAAATGTCAGTTGAGAAGGGGAGATAATTTTTAAAATATAGCAATTCCTATGGTAGATATGGCATTTTGCAAAGGAGAGAAATCGATCAGCTGACTGTAAATATAAGAACTTTTTAAATGAATGACTTTCCTTGCTCCTTTCCCTCTCCTTCAAGACTCATGCTTTCCCTGAGATTAAACTCATAGATTTAGAGAATCACCTCTTTCTGTTCCTGCTTGGTCTCAAGGTAGAATCATTTCCATGGTGTTCTAAAGTGTGAGTGCATTGAATACCTTTCTCACCATTTGGTATCTTATCTCCATCTATCCCACTGCTGATCCCCAATTTATCCTTACTTCTTTGAGTCATATTTTCTTTTATAGTAAACAAAGACAATAAATAGCTAACATATATTGAAGGCTGAGTTCCAGCCATTGTTTTACATAGTTTGGGTCCATTGATCCTCATACAACCCTAAGAGGTAAGGCAGTATTATTATTACCATTTATAGGTGAGAAAACTGAGGCATAGAGGAATTTAAAAACTCTCCCAGGATCAACCAGTAAGAAGGAGAGCCTGAATTGAAACTCAGGCAGCCTAGCTCCAGAAATCATGCTTTTAATTAATACACCCTTGCAAAGGTTTGTAAATACTTCAGTTCAACAATGAATAACTATTTCGAGATATGAAAAAAATCCCACAATTTTCCTCAACATGTCTCAAATCCAATGGGCCCATGCTATAAGGATTAAATTCAAGACTCATGACACCAGCTCGTGTTCAGCCACAAGGCAGCTTTGAGGGAGGCCTGGCTTTGGAGAGAGGCAGAAAGGCAGCCAACCAAGGAGACTTACTCTGTCTCCCTCACTTATTCCCTCTAACTTTTCTCTCCTAGTTGAGCCCACAGTGACTGTGTATCCTGCAAAGACCCAGCCCCTGCAGCACCACAGCCTCCTGGTCTGCTCTGTGAATGGTTTCTATCCAGGCCATGTTGAAGTCAGGTGGTTCCGGAATGGCCAGGAAGAGGAGGCTGGGGTCGTCTCCACAGGCCTGATCCGTAATGGAGACTGGACCTTCCAGACCCTGGTGATGCTTGAAACAGTCCCTCAGAGTGGAGATGTCTACACCTGCCAAGTGGAGCACCCAAGCCAGATGAACCCTCTCACAGTGGAATGGAGTGAGAAGCTCTCTGCCCTCATAAATTCCTCACCCACCAAGGAGGGGACTTTGCTTATCCCTGAGTGTCAGGTTTCTCCTCTCCCCACACTGTATTTTCATTTGCTCCATGTTCTCCTCTCCTTCAGCACAGATCACAGGGGGTACCCTGTGATATCCTCTGATAGAAATTCTCTGATGGTTTATAGATATCCCCTGTAGTTTCTATAAATACCTGTACCCCCTGGGGAGGCAATTATGCCTGGCAGACAGAAGAGAGATTGTCCCTGTTTTGAGCCCTCCCATGATATCACAGCTCATGGTTTCTCCTCGGCCCTGGGCACCAGTCCCCTGCCCCGGGCTGGGCTTGTACTTCTGACACTGTTGCTCTGAGTTGCTCACTGTGATCTGAGCAGAGGCCCATCCTCGAGGGGAGTCCAGTCTCAGCTCTGCTTTTTATTAGCTCTGTCACCTCAGACAAGCTACTCAACCTCATGGAGTCGCAGGCTCCTCTTCCATCAGATGTTGAACTAATGGCCTTATGTCAGGGCTGTGATATTTAAATGAGTTTGTTGCCTGAATCCTTGTAGCTACTCAGTGTGATTTTTAAATCTCTTTTCCAGAAATGGCCAATTATTGTAGTTCTTCCAGGGCTGCCTTCTTCCCCCATTCTCAAAGTTCTCTATCCTAGAATCTCAATTAGAAACGTTGGATTTGGGGTAAAAATCACTAAAACTAGCTTCTTCTTTTCTCAGGGGCCCAGTCTGAATCTGCACAGAACAAGATGCTGAGTGGAATCGGGGGTTTTGTTCTGGGTCTGCTCTTCCTTGGGGTGGGGCTGTTCATCCACTTCAAGAATCAGAAAGGTGAGGACCCTGCTGGCAGCTGGGACTCCCCACAGACATTTGGGGGAAGAAACACAGCTTTGCTCAAGTTAGTTTTCTGTACACCAGTGGCCCTGTACAAAGCCTTTCTTCACGTACTTGACCTCAAATTTCCTGGAAATCCAGAAATCGACAGTCTGTGGTTACTAGTTGAAACATGAGAGGTTATGGCCCACAGCAGTGAGAGAAAGGGTAACAGGCACGAAGATCTTGGGTTGAGATCCTGGGGCATGCAGGAAGGGCCACTAACGCTGGTGAAATTGCACTGAATTTGTGTGACAGAAACTTCATGGGTCACACGATCTCAGTTTCTACGATCTCAGTTTCTGATCTTCTCTCTTCCCTGGCATCATGTGATGTGAGCTGTGGTGTTAGAGAAATCTCAGTTAGGGAGTCGGGGGTGGGGACATTGTAATTGGGGACAGACTTGTCTCCATATCTGTTAAGTATGTTTCTTCCCTTCTCTTTCCCAGGACACGCTGGACTTCAGCCAACAGGTAATGCTCTGTAATCCTCTTTTAGAGACAGACTTGGTTCTCCTAGAACAGATGGTAGAGATGACAAGACAGGAGAAGAAATAACAGGAAAACTTTGAATTCTGATCAGGCAGTTTGCAATAAAGCATCTTCTGTACACTTAATAAAAGCCTTGCACTCTAAAGTAGCATGGGCTCAAGGTGATGTTAGAATTTTTTCCCCTCTTACTGCAGTGCTTTATCACGAGGCCCTGAGAGGGGGAAAGGGAGCTGCTTGTAGAGTTAGGTCTGGAAACAACGCTCTCCTCTGTCTTCTGCAGGCCTCCTGAGCTGAAGTGAAGATGGCAACCCTCAAGGAAGAACCTTCTGTCCCAGCTTCTTTGCAGCAAGAACAAGTTTCTTGCTTGACCCTTACTCCACCAAGAGAGTGCTTTCTCAGGATCTGGTTTGCTCCTGGTTCAGTGACCCTGCAGAAAATGTCCTCCCTGATGGCTTCCTCAGCCCCCAACCTAGGCTTGGATGTCCCCTATATTGATTGCAGTGCCTTATCTTCACTCTTTCCCAGTCTCCTTTGTAGTCAACCCCTATGGCCTCCTCTGTATCTGAACTCACCTTCTGCCCACATTTCTTTATAATGTTTTTCTCAAATAAATGTGTGGAGTGAAATCATCTGCTTCATACAGCTTCAAGGAGAAGAAGTAGAAAGAAAAGAGAAGGGGAGAATTCCATCACAAAACAATAATGGTTTTCATTCACATTTCTTAATTTTGGTCATGTGTGGATCTGACAGGTTTCCTTGCTTCATTCCCTATTTTCTCTTGGGTTTTCTGCATTCTCTAATTAGGCATGTTTTCCTGAGCTAGGAGAAAGCCCTTAATGACCCTATATCCTACATCGTTGTGTTCTCAAAGACAAACACACAAGGTCCTCCACACCATGGGATACAGAATGGGGACAAGAAGTATAAGAAATGCAGGTAACTTGTAAGGATATGTTGCCTTCAGGATTTTTATAGTCATGTTCTTTGGTCTCTTCTTCCAGGATTTTTTTAAGAAAGTATCTAAACCTGGGTACTTCTTGAGCTGCCTTTTTTTTAGTTAAGAGTGGACTTCAACACTTCAATCTTTTTTTCTGTCTCTTGAATAAAAGCCAGTGGATGCTGACTCTTTGGCTTGGGATGTACTCTTCCTGTTAGTGGTCCCAGAAGGCCACCAGGGAAAAGTTACAACTCTAGTGGAAAAGATGCATTTCTGAGACTCTCCAGATTGTGCGACAAACTCATCGTCTATCACAGGAAAATACTGTATGGATCTTATCTTAGCGTAAATCAGACATAACGATGGGAGACAAAGGGGAATATGTAAATACACTGAAGTACATCTAAACAATGAAATACTCTGCAGCTGGTAGAAAAAAATGAGAGGCTGTCTGTACCCTGCTATGAAATAATTTCCAAAGTATATTCAGAGCAAGGTATAGGAGAGTATTTGTAATATACAACGTTTTGTTTAATAAAGTAGAGGAGAAGATTAGGAATATACAGCTATACCCATTCTATTCTATTCTACTCTATTCTACTCTATTCTATTCTATTCTATTCTGTTCTGTTCTATTCTACTTGCATTGATAAATATGAACAATGGGAGGATTTTAAAAATAGTTGCCTATAGGGCAAGTGAGGGAATAGCTTGTAGAGAATAGAGTTGAAAGCTGGACTTCTCTGAATATATTTTATTTAACAGTTTTAACTTGGGGAATATTTAAATATTTAAAATGTACATGATCATATCAAAAGTAAATAATGACAGTTTTACCTTCTGTGCCACCCTTATATTTTTTATTTATTTTTCTTGCCATTTTTCATTGTCTAACACATCCACTACTCCAGAAATCAAGGGAAAGTTTTTAAATATTTCACCATTGAGTCTGATGTGTGCAGTAGGGTAACTAAACTTTCTTAGGTTGAGAAAATTCCTTTTTAATACTAGATTTTTTAAAAATTAAGAACAGGTGTTGAATTCTGTCAAATGACATTTTATGATTCTATCAAAATGCTCAGATGCCTTTCTCCTTCTTTGAGTTAACATAGTAACATAAGTCCTAGCCAGCACTATAAAACAAGAAAATAAATGGCATGCTGTGTTGTGAGATCTGAATTTTCAAGTGGTGCTATGACATCTTCAAGCCTCAAAAGACCCGAAAGGCTTAACCATGAGTTCTCCTGCTTTTACCAAATACGTTCCCTCAACCCGGCAGGAAAGCTTCCCCATCTGGCTACTTCTATCAGCCTGAACAGCTGCACTCCACCTGATCCTCAGCCTAAGGGTTTCAGTTCCCTGCCAGCCCACGGAACTAGTCACACAAACTGGTAACATCCTCCCAGGGATCCAAAGTGACCCATCCTCTTATTACTACAAAACCTACATCTCACAGCCCCTGCTGGCTCACTCTCTTCCTGAGTGCAACCCCCATGTGGGCCTACATGGAATGCAGTGGCCTGCTCCCTCAGGCTGTGAGTATATGTGATGAACTGCTATCCATCTCATCTGTCCATTTTGGGCTTTGTGTGTTCAGCCGTCTCATACTACTTGGGGGGGGACCCCTCATTCATCAACAGGGTAAAAAGGAGGTGGTCAAAACACACACTGATCAGAAAGGGAGAAATAAAACTTTTCCTATCCTCAGTTGATATTGAAGGGGGAGGAAGAAGAGTATCCTCTACCCACTCTGCGTCCTTCCTGGCTGGGCTATAAATTAAATTGAAATGAGAATGAATAGCAGGAGAAAATCAAACAAAGCTTAATAACATGTATACATGGGAGAAACCAGGGAAACTGAGTTTCTCAACGAATGGCAGAGAATTTCACCTTAAATAGATTTAGATAAAGACAAAGGAGGATGCTGGGGGTGGGGAGGGAGACAGGAGGGAGAGAGAAATCACAGTAATCAAGAGTATGCAGATTTAAGTCCTCTCCTTCCCTACTGACAAGGGTTTCTAAAGATAAGGTCATCTCCCCTCTCCCCAGTACAGAGAGGGAGATACCTTTACAAATGGAGATTTCCCTTACAAATGTAAATTATCCATACCCAGAGTTAAATTCATTTAGGCAGTTAGTGGGGGAGGTCAAATTCCATCAGAGAAAATAATCAAGGTAAAGAGATGCATTTTGAGGTAGCCAAATTTTGATCTCCTACAATATGATGGTCTATATAAAAAAGCCCAAAGAATGCCTCACTCCTCCCCCGCAAAAAAGCCTCCTAGAACTAATAAGGGAGATCATGAAGATTGCAGAAATCAAAATCAGCAAAAGAATTGATTTCTTTTCTATATATGGCAAGGAAGACATAAAACAAAAAATAAAAATAAATACCCACTACAATCACTGAAAAAAAATGAGAAACACTTAAGTAAAACTCTAACAGAACACGTTAGGGACTTACATGCTGATATGCTGATGAAAAAAATAAAAATAAAAAACTGAATAGTAAAAATGTCACTTCTCCCCCAAATTGATATCTCAGTTTAATGCAATTTCTATCCAAATTCTAGAAAAGTTTTTAATAGTTGTAGACAGAGCTTTTCTGAAATTTATATGACATAGCAAAGGAATTAGGATAGATAACCCAAATTTGATAAAGAAAAATAAAGTTGAAAGATCACTTGAACCAAATGTACGACTTTTAGACAGATACAGTAGTCAAGACTGATGGGTATTCTGGAGGGAGGGACACATAGATTGATGGAACAGTATAGAAAATCCAGAAATAGACCCACACAAACTCACTTTGACAGAGGTGCGAAGCAACTGAATGGAGATGGATAGTATTTTCAAACAATGATACTGGAGCAAGTGGATATCCATAGGCAAAAAAAGAGAAAAAAACAAAAAAACACCAATTCTCAAATCTTATACAAAAATTCATTCAAAATAGATCATAAATTTAAATGTAAAATATAAAATTTTTAGAAGAACACTCAGGAGGAAATCTTTGTGACCTAGGGCCTGGTGAAGAGTTCCTAGACATAACACCAAAAGCATGATCCATAAAAGAAAAATATAACTAAATCGGGCTTTATCAAAATTAAATCTTTTGTCCTGCAAAATATCCTGTTAGGAGGCCGGCCTGGTGGCGCCGTGGTTAAGTGTGCGCACTCCACTTCAGCGGCCCGGGGTTCGCAGGTTCTGATCCCGGGTGTGCACCGACACACCGCTTGTCAAGCCATGCTGTGGCAGCGTCCCATATAGATTTTATTTATTTATTTTTTCCCCCAAAGCCCCAGCAGATAGTTGTATGTCATAGCTGCACATCCCTCTAGTTGCTGTATGTGGGACGCGGCCTCAGCATGGCCGAAGAAGTGGTGCGTCGGTGCGCGCCCGGGATCCGAACCCGGGCCGCCAGCAGCGGAGCGCGTGCACTCAACCGCTAAGCCACCGGGCCGGCCCGGCAGCGTCCCATATAAAGCAGAGGAAGATGGGCACGGATGTTAGCCCAGGGGCAATCTTCCTCAGCAAAAAAGAAGAGGATTGGCATTGGATGTTAGCTCAGGGCTGGTCTTCCTCACAAAAAAAAAAAAAAAAAACCTGTTAGAAGAATGAAAAGATAAGGTACAGACAGAGAGAAACTACTTGCACACCCAAAGTATCACAAAGGGCATTTATCTAGAATATATAAAGGACCTTAAAACTCCACACTAAAACAAGCATTCTTAATTACAAAATGGGCAAAAGACATGAAGAGACATTTTATCAAGGAGCATACCCAGATGGCAAATAAGAACTGTGAATGATGTTCAACATCACTACCTATTAAGGAAATGCAAATTGAGAACACGATGATATATCACTAATTACCTATTAAAACAGCTAAAATATAAAATACAGACAACGCAAATGCTGGTGAGAATGCAGAGAAACTAGATCTCTCATACACTGTGAAATGGTACAGGCCCTCTGGAAAACAGTTTGGCAGTTTCTTAAAAAACTAAACATTTAATTACCACATGATCCAGTAATCACATTTCTGGGCATTATTGCCAGAGAAATGAAAACTCTTGTTCATGCAAGAATCTTACAGAAATGTTCTTAGCAGAGTTATTTTTAATAGTCCTGAAATAGAAACAACCAAAATGCTATGCAATAGGTGAATAGTTGAACAAATCGTGGTTACATCCATACCATGGAGTACTACTCAGCCAAAAAAAAAAAATAGGAATAAACTAATCATACACCAAACAACTTGGATGGATCCTAAGGGCATTATGCTGACTGAAAACTGCCAATCTCAAAACGTCACATACTGTATGAATCTATTTATCTAACATTCTTGAAATGACAAGATGATAGAGATGGAGAACACGTTAGTGGTTGTCAGGTGTGAGGGTGATGATTTCTGAAGGAAAGTAGTCGTGACTATACAAGGTAGCATGAGGGAGCTCACCGTAGTAATTGAATGGTTTTGTGCTTGATTGTGGTGGTGGTTACACAAATCTACAAACATGATAAAACATAGGCATAGAACTATACACACACATTGTACCAA